TCAAATGAATTAGACCAGGGGTGGCCAACCCTGTTCCTGAAGAGCCACCTTCCTGCAGATTTCAGTTGCGACCCATATCAAACACACCTGAACCAGTTAATTAGGACCTGAACACCACTGATCATTACAGGCAGGTGTGTTTGATATGCAACTGAAATCTGCAGGAAGGTGGCTCTCCTGGAACAGGGTTGACCACCCCTGAGTCAGACCAAAAGGTTCTGCTATATAAACATTGTAAGCTGAGAAAATATTATATCCTATTCCTGCTATATAAACATAAAAAAATAATTGTGCAGTCGATTCACTGTCAACCTCCGAATGCACAACTGTTGTGATCAAAATTAAATCTCTGTCTAAGAAACTCTGAAGATGGGTAAATATCTTCATTCATTCATTCATTCATTTTCTTTTCGGCTTAGTCCCTTTATTAGTCTGGGGTTGCCACAGCGGAATGAATCGTCAACTTCTATAGCACATGTTTTTACGCAGTGGATGCACTTCCAGCCACAACCCATCTCTGGGAAACATCCACACACTCATTCACACACACACACACACATTACGGACAGTTTAGTTGATCAATTCCCCTATAGCGCATGTGTTTGGACTGTGGGGGAAACCGGAGCACCTGTCCCAGCCAGGATTTGAACCAGCAACCTTCTTGCTGTGAAGTGACAGCCACCGTGTCGCCCCATCAAAATCAATATCTTATTTAAACATTAGGTGTTTGGATTGTTTAGAAAACTCATTGTCTCTAGACTTTGAGTGGTCATCCGCTGAAGCTGAGCAGGGCTGAGGCTGGTCAGTGTCTGGATGGGAGAGCACATGGGAACACTAGGCTGCTGTTGGCAGTGGTGTTAGTGAGTCCAGCAGGGGGTGCTCAACTTGTGGTCTGTGTGGGTCCTAATACCCCAGTATAGTGAAGGGGACTCTATACTGCTCAGTGAGCGCCGTCTTTCGGATGAGCTGTTAAAGTGAGCTCATGACTCTCTGTGCTCATTAATAACTCCAGGATGTCCTTGGTAAAAGAGTAGGGGTTTCACCCCGGCATCCTGGCCAAATCTGCCCACTGGCCTCTGTCCATCATGGCCTCCTAACATCCCCATATCATAACTGTCTTCATCACTCTCTCTCCTCTCCACCAATCAGCTGCTGTGGTGTGTGGTGTGGAGCAATATGGCTGCCATCATGTCCTTCAGGTGGATGCTGCACACTGGTGCTGGATGAGGAGATTCCCCAAACGTGTAAAAGTGCTGTGAGTGTCCAGAACAGAGCTATAGAAGGATTAATATTATTATTTTTTATGTACTGTAAAACCCAATAGGTTGAGGTAACTCAAACCATTTGAGGAAACCGATTGCAGCAAACCATTTAAGTTCAAAAACTAATCCTAATGAGTACTGCAGTTCTGCCCTACTGAAAAAAAACTGCTTAAACCAGCCTAGGCTGGTTTAAGCTGGATTTTTCAGCAGGGTGTGAACTTGCTCCATTTGAGTAAACGAAGCAATTTGAGCACAGTAAAAGCTAATGAATGAAGAGAACTCAAACCGACTGAGTGCTGAAAAACCCAAAGAATTGAGGCAACTCAAACTGTCTGAGCAAACCGACTGCAGCAAACCATAAGAGTTAATAAACTAATCTATACGAGTATTGTGAGCTTACTCCAGTTAAGTTGAAGTAATGAGGCATTTAATTACCTTCAAGACTGAGTTCAAATCGGTTTTCAAATGAGTAGAATTAACTTTCAGTCCATTTTGAGTTCGCTGCACTCATTTCATTGGATGAAGTTGGGTTTTACGGTGGATCATTTAACTAATTATCATAGAGAAATTGATTTGATCTTATACTTGGCAGTGTTATTATTCTATCTGCTTATTATCTCCTGAGGTGTGTTCGTTTATATAAAGTCAAAACAGAAGAGCCTGTGTGTGATCTTGATAGTCTTCCATCAAATTCAGAAATTACGTTGTCGTCAACCCTCTGAATGTGCACTTTACATCTGTTGATTACCAAGATAAACAACTATTCCCATCGGATTAACTTTTACAAATTATTCACTTTAAGAATAACAACGTGAGCTAGCATGCCATGTTAGCATGCACTGATTTCACTTCATAAGAAACCGTTTTCATTCATTAGCTAACATGCTACATTAGCCTACGATTTAAATTAGGCTACAATTTAATTATAAGTGTATCAAATTCATACATTTATTACACATTTTTTAATGGTTAATTCATGTGTTTAATGCGTATTTTGTTCATTAAGCATCGGAACATAATTATTTATAATATTTCAACAATAAATATCGTACATCACTGTTTTTACATTACTGTGAGGGTTGGGTTTAAGGTTAGGGTAGGAGGTAGACGTTAATAAGCTACAATTTAATAAATAATTTAATAAATAACATTAATAATTCCCGTTAACTTCCGACAATTCTCCGGGTGTTGCTAGAAGGGATACAGCTGCGGACGGAAGTTAAAGAGTATTATCTTTATTGTGTATTATTTTAGCCAATCATTGTATTTTATTAACTCTAAACGCAGCTCTCATTATAATGTAAAGATATTAATTATTGTTCAATAAACATGCTATATTGATGCGAGAACACACAGCTGTATCCTATCTACAGTCGGTGTAAGCGCGCGCAGCACCCGGAAGCAGCCGGAGGAGAAAGCGGAAGTGTTGATGCGGAAAGCGGGCGAGAGCCGCAGTGACTCAGCAGAGTTTTGCGTGAAAAACACACGACAAAGTGAGAACTTTACACTTTTACTGGGTTTAATTCAGCGACGCGCAGATTAGGGCGAAGATACGGGGGGTTAAAGCTTACAGATGCGCTTTAAACACACCAATTACAGCGGGAGGAGCACATCAATCACGCGATAAACGTGTGTGTGTGAATATAAACACTGACACACACACACACACAGCTAATGTGTTTATTAGCACGAGGAGTGTGTGTGTGATCGCAGAAACACTGCAGACAAACATTAATGACTAAATAAATGAGTGATCCACTGATAAAGTCAGCCATTAGAGATGAATAAATGACAGATATACTCAACTACAGATATATAGTGTGGAGATTTAATTAAATACAACATACTCGTGTTAAATACTGTAAACACACTCAGACTAAATGTGTTTTATTACACTCATACATTCAATTACATACAGAATAATTAAGTTTATCCACTAAATATGATTATTTATTAAGAGCAAACACGCTCGAGTCTGAAATGAATGTTTATGAACTGTACTTTGAGACTGTTTTGACTCGTGTAATGTGACGGTTCTGCTTTAGTTTGCAGTGATTCTGTTTAAGTGTTTAATGTGTTTATCATTAAAATGTGTAATTATTGCATATTTAAACAGCGTGATCGACTCAGAACTGATGATGAACGGTGTAATTTCTGCTGTTAATGCTTTCATATTCAGAAGTATTTTAGTTCTGATGTATATGTTGATGAATTGATTTGCTTTCAGATGTGCATGAGTATGGGATACGTTTTTGTTTCCGTCTAATATGTGTGTGTGTGTTTCTGATGTATAAATCTGATGCGAGTGTGTGTGCGCAGTTGGGTATCTGATGTGTGTATGTGTGTGTGTATACAGTAGGCATGGGCCGGAATAAGATTCTGATGGTATGATAACCTTACATGTAAATATCACGGTTTTACGCTATCAGATCACTGCTGTAAAATATATATTTTTAAATATCTGGGTAAAAAAAACACCACAAATGGGTCTTCCAAACAGAACATGACCCTAAGCATACTGCCAAATTAGTAAAATGTGCTTTGAGGGCAACAGAGTGAATGTTTTGGAGTGGCCATCACAAAGCCCTGACCTCAATCCTATAGAGAATGTGTGGGCAGAGTTGAAAAAGCTTGTGCGAACTAATCTGACTCCGTTACAGCAATTCTGCAGGAGGAATGGGCCAAAACTCCTGCAAACTATTGAGAGAAGCTTGTGGAAGGAGACCCAAAACACTTGACCAAAGTTACACAGTTTAAAAGCAAAGCTAAAAAACACCAAGGAAATGTGTGTAAACCTTTGACTGTCGAGAAATTAATAACAAATTCTCTCAATATTCTGGCATTTAGCAAATGTCAATCATTTAGTAATCCTAACAGACCTAAAATAGTAAACGTTTAGTGATTTACCAGCAGACATTTATTAAAATGGTTATGCTCCTTTATTAGAGTCTATATAAACGTCTGGATTCAGCTGTGTCCAAAATCACCTGCTACTTAGTCGGTACTGCATTTCAGTTTAAACGTTTACAGTTTGAGCGCGGGCAGCATGAATGGAACTCGGACGAACATCATCCGCCATTTTGTCATCATCACATGACCTACCTGTCTGAGTTGTGTCTTCATTCTCATTGATGGATTCTCTCACGGGGCATTGTGGGATAGCGTAGCGTGCATCGGATGCGGATCTCGCCGGAAGTAGTAGTTCCCACTGAACTGAACTAAACGCAGAGATCTGGCCTTTACTAGATCTTCTATGTGAAGCTGCTGGGACAGTCTCAGGAATAGAGATGAAGGGAATAGAGGTCAGCCGGGTACTTCTCACATACTGCGTTTCAAATTCTGTTAACCCTGACATACTGCTCCACTCCCCTACTGTCTTTAGTGTACTATATAGTATGGAAGTATGCGATTTCAGACGCAGCCCTAGTATGTATCTGATACACAGGTGTCAGAGTCAGCTCCTGAAGCGCCGCAGCTCTGCACAGTTTAGTTCCAGCCTGATTCAACACAGCTGGTCAGACTGACTGAGTCCGTCAGGCTTGTTGGAGAGGTGAGTGTGTTGGAGCTAAACTGTGCAGAGCTGCCGTGCTTCGGGAACTGAGTTTAAGACTCCTGATCGTGTGTTTGAGTGAGTGTGTGTGTGTGTGCGAGTGCGTGCATGCAAGTTGGGGCAGCTGTAGCCTAATCCTTAGAGAGTTGGACTTGTGATGGGAAAGTTCCAGGTTTGAGTCCTGCATCCGGCAGGGATTGTCTGTGGTGTGAGTTCACCACCCCCAATATCACCCCCCAACTGCTCCGATGGCTGCCCACTGGTCTGTGTGTGTGTGTTTTGCAGGTGATGGCGGCGGATGAGTCTCCGGTGTCTCTGTCTGAGCTCTCCGAGTGTTTCTCTGTGTGTGTGTGTGTGTGTGTGTGTGTGTGTGTGTATCTAACATAAGTGTGTGTGTTGTGCGGATGAGTCTCTGGCGTCTCCGTCTGAGCTCTCCGAGTGTTTCTCTGTGTGTGTGTGTGTGTGTGTGTGTGTATCTAACATAAGTGTGTGTGTTGTGCGGATGAGTCTCCGGTGTCTCTGTCTGAGCTCTCCGAGTGTTTCTATGTGTGTGTGTGTGTGTGTGTGTGTGTGTGTGTATCTAACATAAGTGTGTGTGTTGTGCGGATGAGTCTCTGGCGTCTCCGTCTGAGCTCTCCGAGTGTTTCTATGTGTGTGTGTGTGTGTGTGTATCTAACATAAGTGTGTGTGTTGTGCGGATGAGTCTCTGGCGTCTCCGTCTAAGCTCTCCGAGTGTTTCTATGTGTGTGTGTGTGTGTGTGTATCTAACATAAGTGTGTGTGTTGTGCGGATGAGTCTCTGGCGTCTCCGTCTGAGCTCTCCGAGTGTTTCTCTGTGTGTGTGTGTGTGTGTGTATCTAACATAAGTGTGTGTGTTGTGCGGATGAGTCTCTGGCGTCTCCGTCTGAGCTCTCCGAGTGTTTCTCTGTGTGTGTGTGTGTGTGTGTGTGTGTATCTAACATAAGTGTGTGTGTTGTGCGGATGAGTCTCTGGCGTCTCCGTCTGAGCTCTCCGAGTGTTTCTATGTGTGTGTGTGTGTGTGTGTATCTAACATAAGTGTGTGTGTTGTGCGGATGAGTCTCTGGCGTCTCCGTCTGAGCTCTCCGAGTGTTTCTATGTGTGTGTGTGTGTGTGTGTATCTAACATAAGTGTGTGTGTTGTGCGGATGAGTCTCTGGCGTCTCCGTCTAAGCTCTCCGAGTGTTTCTATGTGTGTGTGTGTGTGTGTGTGTGTATCTAACATAAGTGTGTGTGTTGTGCGGATGAGTCTCTGGCGTCTCCGTCTGAGCTCTCCGAGTGTTTCTCTGTGTGTGTGTTGTGTGTGTGTGTATCTAATATAAGTGTGTGTGTGTTGTGCAGGTGATGGCGGCGGATGAGTCCAGTGTCTCTGTCTGAGCTCTCAGAGTGTGTGTGTGTGTATCTGATGTAAGTCTGTGTGTGTGTGTTGTGCAGGTGATGGCGGCGGATGAGTCTGCGGTGTCTCCGTCTGAGCTCTCCGAGTGTTTCTCTGTGTGTGTGTGCGTGTTTAATATAAGTGTGTGTGTGTTGTGTGTGTGTGTATCTAATATAAGTGTGTGTGTGTTGTGCAGGTGATGGCAGCAGATGAGTCTCCGGCGTCTCCGTCTGAGCTCTCCGAGTGTTTCTCTGTGTGTGTGTGCGTGTCTAATATAAGTGTGTGTGTGTTGTGTGTGTGTGTATCTAATATAAGTGTGTGTGTGTTGTGCAGGTGATGGCGGCGGATGAGTCTGCGGTGTCTCCGTCTGAGCTCTCCGAGTGTTTCTCTCTCTCTCTGTGTGTGTGTGTGTCTAATATAAGTGTGTTGTGCAGATGAGACTCTGGCGTCTCTGTCTAAGCTCTCCGAGTGTTTCTCTGTATGTGTGTGTGTGTGCGTGTCTAATATAAGTGTGTGTGTGTGTTGTGCAGGTGATGGCGGCGGATGAGTCTCCGGCGTCTCCGTCTGAGCTCTCCGAGTGTTTCTCTGTGTGTATGCGTGTGTGTGTGCGTGTCTAATATAAGTGTGTGTGTGTGTGTGTGTTGTGCAGGTGATGGCGGCGGATGAGTCTCCGGCGTCTCCGTCTGAGCTCTCCGAGTGTTTCTCTGTATGTGTGTGTGTGTGCGTGTCTAATATAAGTGTGTGTGTGTTGTGCAGGTGATGGCGGCGGATGAGTCTCCGGCGTCTCCGTCTGAGCTCTCCGAGTGTTTCTCAGCAGAGGATTATGCAGCGGAGTCTCTGGCTGCAGATCTGGACCCCTGGATCACCTTCGACGCCCGTAAGACGCCGCGTGCAGAGTTCAGCAGCTGGCTCCAGTCCCACCGGCCCTCCAGCGTCAGCCGTTACGGGGACGGGGAGGCCGGTGCGGGGCCCGTGGGCTGGATCGCGGTGCGGGGCCCGGACTACAGCGAGCAGAGCGGGGACGTGGAGGGCCTGCAGGACAGCTGGGAGACGCTCCTGACCAGCGGACGCTCCGTCTCCTTCCAGAACATCCGCGAGCTGGCGCTCAACCACAGCGTGCTGGACGGCAAGTGGCTGATGCACCTCGACACCGGCTTCAAGGTACAGACACTGACCAGACCACTACACATCTGCGTGTCCAGTCAGGGGGTTCAGAGCGAGGGTCATATGGGGGAGGTAGAGTGGGTTCAGTGAAGGAGGGTTTGTCATGTCATGAGTTGACCCACACTGAATCTACACTTGCAGAAATACGTGCTGTTGCAGATGCTTTGATTATTAAGTGAATCACCTGCTTGAGTTGTGTCTCCATCCCTCCTGCAGGTGGACCGAGCCTGGGAGAGCATCGCCCGAGCCACAGTGCTGGAGGGGAAGATCTGGTCCGCTAAGGTGAGCCCGCGGGACCCTAGCTCCAACTCCAGACACGTCATCTGCGTCTACAACCAGAACTTCACGGATGAGGAGCAGGTGGTGCGGCTGGACTCCGCCATACGGGCCGCCGGGGTCAAGTGTGTGCTCTACTACAAGCCCGACGTCTACACGTATCTGGGCATCTACAGGAACAACCGCTGGAAGCTCTGCCCCACCATCTACGAGAGCATGTTTGACCTGGAGAGCGTCCCGCGCAGATCACACATCCTCAACAAGGTCACCAACCTGGAGCTCAGCTAGCTCTGCGGCGTTGTGGCAGCGTTGCAGGAGCATTTCTGGAACGTTCTTTAAGCCTTTCTGGAACATTTAAGGAGCATTGCTTGAATGTTGCTGAAACATTTTCTGGAGCATTTCAGGAACGTTTCTGGAATGTTGCTAAAGCGTTTCTGGAGTGTTTGCTGGAGCATTTCAGGAATGTTGCTGGAACATTTTAGAAGCATTCCTGAATCGCTCCAGAAGCGTTTCTGGAATGTTGTTGAAACGTTTCTGGAGCATTTAAGGAATGTTTCTGGAACGTTTTGGAAGCATTGCTGGAATGTTGCCGAAATGTTTTTGAAGCATTTCAGGAATGTTTATGGAGCATTTCAGAAATGTTGCTGGAACTCATTTGAAGCGTTGCTGGAATGGTGCTAAAACGTTTCTGGAGCGTTTCAGGAATGTTTCTGGAGTTTTTGCTGGAGCGTTTCAGGAATGTTGTTGAAATGTTTCTGGAGCGTTTCAGGAATGTTTCTGGAACGTTTTAGAAGCGTTGCTGGAATGGTGCTAAAACGTTTCTGGAGCGTTTCAGGAATGTTTCTGGAGTTTTTGCTGGAGCGTTTCAGGAATGTTGTTGAAATGTTTCTGGAGCGTTTCAGGAATGTTTCTGGAGTTTTTGCTGGAGCGTTTCAGGAATGTTGTTGAAATGTTTCTGGAGCGTTTCAGGAATGTTTCTGGAACGTTTTAGAAGTGTTGCTGGAATGTTGCTAAAACGTTTCTGGAGCGTTTCAGGAATGTTTCTGGAGTGTTGCTGTAATGCTGTTGGAGCGTTGCAGGAGGGTTTCTGGAAATTTGCCAAAGCATTGCAGGAGTGTTGATGGAGCATTGATGAAGAGTTGCAGGAGCGTTGATCAAGTGTTGTTAGAGAGTTGCAGAAGCGTTAATCAAGTGTTATAGGAGAGTTGCAGGAGCGATTCTGGAGCATTGATCAAGCATTGATGGAGCATTGCAGGAGCGTTGATTGAGCATTGCTGGAGTGTTCTCTTTTTTCTGTTGTGATGCAATACTCTGCATGCAGACTTGTGTACATGTAAATACGCAGCCCGAGTGTTGAAGGGCTTTGACAGATTTTTTTCTGTGTTTGTTGGAGTTCTTTTAAAACCTTTTTTATATTTAAAGCATAATTTTGTTCAATAGTTCATTTTGCCAAATAAATAAATAAATAATGGAGACATTTGAAACCGTGTTTTTGCATTTATTACAGCTGAAGCAGTAGAAAAACATCTATTTCCATATGTGTGTGTGTGTGTGTGTGTGTGAGCCTGGAGCAGGAAACTGGCTGTAGTCAAACACAAACTGTAGATCTGAGCGCTTCATTTACACCCAAACTCATCTGAATATTAGGATCATGTTCCAGCAGGATATTAGGAAATATACTCTTGTTTTTCTGCTGTAATCTGTGATTAGTAATGTGTATATAGACGCTTTAAAGCTGATTTACTCTGAACGTTTGACTTTCTTGACCCTCAGATTGTAGATTAACGGTTGGATTTGGGTGATCTATAAGTGTACAGGCCATTCATCACTGGTTTTCTGGTCCAGGGTCACATATTTGCACACACAGGTTACACAGTTACATAAAAACACTGAATTATTATTGCAGAAACACACCGAGGAAACTCAGACTGGGCTATATACAAACACTGAAGGAGACTCTTAGAAAATCTGTACATGTAAAGGCAGACACACACAAATATTGTCAGATTTAACTCGTGTGTGTGTGTGTGTGTGTATAATATTTGTAACGGATAGACAGAACAAATGCACAGAAACTGGATCAGCACTAGGTAGACAGCATCACTAGCTAGTGCTCATGGTGACAGAGATTCTGCAATCTTTGACCTGTATATTATATAAAGAAAGCGTGTTTAGTGAGACCCTACAGAGATTCTTCATCCCTCTTCATCTCTCTCCCTCTCTCTCTCCCTCTCTCTCTCTATATATATATATATATATATTAGTGCTGTCAAACATGTATATAGTTTATATAGCAAGTTTGCATTTGCACAATATATACACGTAATGTGTAATTTGATGTATACATGTATAAAACACACACATACTGTACATTAAATACAAAAGACATGGATTTACCTATTTTATTTTGCATGCGTGTCTCTCTGTAGGGCCTCATTAAATGCTGTTTTTCTGCTTTATAATGGGTAGATTATTCTAATAATTAATAAAGAATCAACAGTTGAAATCATGAAAAAAAAATGTACCAATAAGTGTTCAAGTTTAGAGCTGTTTAATTATTAATCGCCACTAATATTGAGATGCAGAAACGAGCTGTACATGCAAGAAACCCCTCAAACAGCTGACAGCACTCTGCTGTGAAGAGTGGACTACACTTTCCCCAGAGCCATGTCAGAGACGTGTAGACGGCTCACTGCAGTTATTTCAGCCAAAGGGGGCGACACTAGCTGTCGAGGGGCAGGGTGTCCTAACATTGTCCTCAGATACAACTACATTTACAGAAGAAGTCAGTTTTAATTAACACGGTTAGGTTGTGTGAGCGTAATCTTTCTGAATGGTTGAAATTGAGATTATAATAAATACCCAGGCTTTCATAGGGTGTCCTCATTTCTGCACATGACCATATGTGTGTGTGCATTTATATACTGTATATACTTTAATTTCGTATGCAATTAGTGACGATCGTTAAACAGCGCTAGTCAAGTTTGAGATTGTAAACACTTAGTTTAGGACCTTTTCTGCATGCCAATTAAATAATCTGATTACATTTTAGTCAATCATCACGTTTTAAAGGCCCCGGAAATAATGCAGGCTTTCTTTATTACTGTAAAGGGACGTTAATTAATGAAATGAGGATAAAAAATAATCAATAATTTGTTTTTATTAAATAAAAAAAGTTCAGATTGCAATGAATGTTTCCCAGGGACGGGTTGCAGCTGGAAGGGCATCCACTGCGTAAAACATATGCTGGATAAGTTGGCGGTTCATTCCGCTGTGGCGACCCCTGATTAATAAAGGCACTAGACTGAAAAGAAAATGAATGAATGAGATTGTAATGAAAACGTAACAAGTGTTAAGAGCAACACAACAGTGGCGCACACACACACACACACACACACACACACACACACACACACACACACACAGACAGACGGAAATATTGTGATAGTCTTTAAATATAATAATAATGATAATGATAACGTGCTACTGAACTACTGCCGTGAGGAGATCTTCTGTACATCTGCCATCATCTATACGCTCAGTGTCCTGCACATTCATTCATCTCTACACACTGAGCTCTGTAAAGGCACTGCGGGCATTCATCTCATCTCCATCTGCTCAAACCGCCACCACTGCAGCCTGCGAATAAAGCACGCTTCACCCACAACACACACACTTACTCCTCATCCAGTCATGCGAGTTAATCCTGGTGAGCACAAGGGAAGATGTTTTGAAGAATGTTGGAAACCTGTAATCACTGACAGTGAGTGTTTCTGTGTGGAGTTTGCATGTTCTCCCCGTGTTGGTGTGGGTTTCCTCCGGGTGCTCCGATTTTCCCCTACAGTCCAAACACATGCGCTATAGGGGAACTGATCAACTACACTGGCCAATTGTATGAGTGTGTGTGTATGGGTGTTTCCCAGCACTGGGTTGCAGCTGGAAGGGCATGCGCTGCATAAAACAGTAACACAAAATAGTTGGTGATTCATTCCGCTGTGGCGACCCCTGATAAATAAGCCAAAGAAAAATTAACAAATACATATAATACATACACACACAGACGCACACACACACCTGTGTTTATTTCGATCCCCATTAGTCGCCGCCAGCACACTATCTATTCCTCCTGAGGTCCAACAAATAAAAGGACAAATTCAAATTAAATCATCAACAAAACCACAAAAAAAACTGAACAAAAACTGAATTGAATTAAAAACTGAACAGAGAAATGAATGATTCAGTATTTTGTGATTCATAATTTTTGGTATATTTATTTATGCATGTAAATTATAAGATTATGGGATGTTTATCTTTTCTCCTGATGATGAAAAACTTACATTTTTTAACATTTATTAACGTTTTGAATAGTTTAAAGTGATATATTTTCTGGTTCAGTGTTATAAACCTATTATTATTATTATTATAACTAATATATATATATATATATATATATATATATATATATATATATATATATATATATATAAATTTGAAATAAATATTTATTAAAATAGTAATATATGCTAAAAGATATACTCTCTCTCTCTCTCTCTCTCTCTCTCTATATATATATATATATAAGCTGTTCTGTATATATTATGTATATATAAATACACACATGCATTTATTTGAGAAAATGTTTATATTTAGATGTATAATAGACTGTATATGTATATGATACAAATATTATACATAATATGTGAGTATATTATATATATACACACATTTATTATGTCGAAACAAACTTATTTTGGATATATAATAAATAAATCTTCTCAAATCTCAAATCTAGGCCTGCACCATATAATATTTAGTGCAATATTTAGTATTTCTGCCATATATATTTGCAATATGAATGCAATATCTCCAGATGACTTAAACAGCTCTATTTTAATAGGATTCGTTACTTTAGATTAGAGCGTATTAAATATAATTAACTAATTGCATAAATACAGATAGGAATGATATAAACAGAGCGTGTATGGTTTTCTGGAGACTCTGCGAATAATTAAACATATAACAACAGCACAGTCTCCATTGTGTAAATATGTATAAATTATGTAATAAATCTTTAAGCTACACATGTTAGAGCTCTTTCTGAATTAGCTTGAGATTCTCAGTCCTTAAAGGGGCAGTTCACCCATTTACCCACTCTCCCTCAACTGCTGACAAACCTTTATGAGTTTCTTTCTTCTGCTGAATATGAATGAATATACTGAAGAAAGCTGTAACCATTGACTTCTACAGTAGGAAAAACAAATACATGAAAGTCAATGGTTACAGGTTTCCAACATTCTTCAGTATATCGCTAAAGCTCTGCAACCTCACGAGGGTGACTAAATGAAGACTACACGTGTATGTTAGCGTGTGCAGTATCTTTGAGAAAGATTTGGGCACAATGGCCTTTCCAACATTCTTCAAAACATCTGCTTTTGTGTTTAATCTCTGCAAAGCACAGCACTAAACGAAGACTGAATGTGTATTATAGCGTGTACTGTCTCTTTAAGAATGATTGCAAGACAAAAAAGGGGGAAAAGACTACGGATGTCAATGGCCTTTCCAACATTCTTCAAAGTATCTTCTTTTGTGTTCAACATCTGCAAACCACATGACGAAATGAAGAGTAAATGTCTATGTTAGCGTGTACTGTCTCTTTAAGAATGATTTGGGGCACTGTATATGATCAGAAACACACAATGGCTTTTCCAACATTCTTCAAAACATCTTCCTTTGTGTTCAACACAAAATCAAAATCCTAAATGTCTGCCAACCACATGACTAAATGAGTATGTTGTAATTTTAGAGTGTACCGTCTCTTTAAGAATGATTTGGGCACTGTGTATTATCAGCACTGATTGTTCACAATAGGAAAACACACTGTGGGTGTCCAACAGCTTTCCCAACATTCTTCAAAACATCTTCTTTTGCGTTTAACAGTCGCAACCACCTGACTAAACAGAGTAAATGTGCATTTTACATGTACTGTCTCTTTAAGGACGATTTGGGCACTGTGTGTGTTTAAAAAACATTCCATTTCCCAACATTCTTCAAAACATCTTCTTTTGTGTTCAACAGAAAACCAAAATCCTGCAAAACGCATGACTAAATGACGAGTATATTGTCATTTCAGAGTGTACTGTCTCTTTAAGAATGTCTGTGCACTGTATATCCGCAGCACTGACCGCTCACAATAAGAAAAATACACTATAGATATCAACGACCTTTCCAACATTCTTCAAAACATCTACTTTTGAGTTCACCCTCTGCATCCACATGACTAAATGAAGAGTAAATGTGTACTTGGCGTGTACTGTCTCTTTAAGAATGATTGTAAGACAAAAAAAGGGGGGAAAACACTATAGATGTCAATGGCTTTTCCAACATTCTTCAAAATATCTTCTTTTGAGTTCACCCTCTGCATCCACATGACTAGATGAAGGGTAAATGTGTATTTAGCGTGTACTGTCTCTTTAAGAATGTTTTGGGCACTGTACATAATCTAATAAACACAATGGCTTATCCAACATTCTTCAAAACATCTTCTTTTGTGTTCACCTAAAGTAAAACTCCTCCCCCTTTGCAAACCACATGACTAAATGGAGAGTAAACGTGTGTGTGTGTGTGTGTGTGTGTGTGTGTGTGTAGCGGGTACTGTCTCTTTAAGAGGGCCACTGACCGTTCCTCCGTGTGAGAGTTTGTGTCAGAAGTGGAAGGTGCTCATGTCGCAGCTCTCGAACAGAGACATGAATCTGTCGTCTTCCATTGAGGTCAGCTCCACCAGATCGTCCAGAACAGACGGAGCTGCCGCCGCCTCACCGGCACCATTATCCTGCGCGGTCACGTTACCGTGTAGACCGGGGAAGTTGGGATGGTAGCCCATCCAGGAGAGGTCTGCAGCGCTGGGTAACTCACAGCAGGGTTCGGGCAGTTTCTGTCGGGTGCTCTGGTCCAGGATCGCCTGGATGTCCTCGTTGGAGATGCTGTCGCCTGAGCCCTGCAACTCTGAGAAGCTGGGGAAATCCGGCAGGTTTTCATCCGGGAATGTGTTATTCATCCTGATGGTGAACGCACTCTGCACCTCTGGAGCTAAGGACAGGTTAGCAGAGAAGAATTGGTTCAGAAACACTGGGTTGTTGACTGAAATCAATCATGAGTTTCAGCCAGCCAAAGTGGCTAGAGGGAGTGGCTGTCTGACCCGCCACGACCCAAATCTACCCGCATTTGGCGGGTGTTAATGTAAAGCCCTGAATATATATATCCCTGATAGAAAGCCATGTTTAGAGTTCTGAAATGCATGCCGCGGTCACGTCACCGAGTGGCGCATCTGGTGTGCGACCCCCTTATGAGCATGTATGGA